GAAGTTTTTCCTCATCTCAGTTCTATTTACCACACCACCAATTTTTCTGTCATCTGCAAATTTACTGGTATGACCACTATATGCGTGTCTAAATCATTAATGTACACTACAAACTGCAAGGGACCCAGTACCAAACTCTGTCATATGCCATTGGACACAGGCTTCCATTCACAAAAGCAACCTTCAAACAGCACCCTATCCCTCTTGCTGCTGAGCCAGTTTTGAATCTAACTTGCCAAATTGCCCTGGATCCCAAGGGTAATTCCTGACCTGTTTGCCATGAGGCACTTTGTCATAAGCCTTTCTGAAGTTTATATGGACAACATCAGCTGCACTATCCTCATCTACACATCTAGTCACTGCTACAAAAAAGTCAATCAAATTTGTTAGACCTGATCTCACACTGACCATGACATGCAGATAATCCTTGACGAATCCTTGTGACTCCAAGTAGAGATAAACTCTGACCCTCAGAATTTTTTCCAAAAGTTTCCCTACCACAGATGTTATATTCACTGGCCTGTTGTTCCCTGGTTTATCCCCACCACCGTTCTTGAATAATGGTACGTTAGCTTCTTCCAATCCCCTGGCAACTCTCCTCTCCTGTGTCCACAGACAATTCGAAAATTAAAGTCAAGGCCCCTATAATCTCTACCTTTGCCTCTCACAGCTGCCTAGGATATATCTCATTTGGGCTTGGGATCTATCCTGTTTTAATCCTGCTAATACTTCTTCCTTCTCAATACTAATTTGTTCACATTTATCACAAGCACAATCACACTCACCGACTTCTCTATTCTACTATGTTCTTCACAATAGTGATTACAAACTAATCATTAAAAATCTTATCTGTCTTCAGGTCCCACTTAGGTTTGGTCTCTAATAAGCCTTTTGCCTTTAATATACCTAGAAAACATATTTGGTTTATCCTTTATTTTACTAACCAGTGCTTTTCATGTCCCCTTTTTTAAATAGCCCTCTGCATTTACTATACTTCCCTAGGGCTTCAACTGTTTTTAGCTCTTGATAGCTACCATAAGCTTCCCTTTTATTCCTTATCCAGTCCTGCATATTCCTCAACATTCAGGGTTCCCGGACTTGTTTGCTGCCTCCTTCGCCTGTACTGAAAGATGTTGGCCCTGCATTCTCATTATTTCCTTTTTAAATGTCTCCCATTGCTCTGATGTAAATTTCTCTACAAGAAACTGCTCACAGTCCACTTTAGCCAGATCCTGTCTTATCAGAATTAAGTTGACCAATTTAGAACTTTTTCTTCCAGCCCAATTTTGTCCTTTTCCATAACTACTTTAAAACTTACTGAGTTTTGGTCACTATCACAAAAATGCTCTTCCACTGTCAGTTCTACCACTTCATTCACTTTGTTTCTTAAAATTGAGTCCAGCACTGCCACTTCCTTGTAAGGTTTTCTACTTTCTGGATCAAAAAGCTCTCCTGGACACAGAAGTCAATTCACCCTTCTTCCTAACGTTAATGGATGCTTTAAAAAAATTCCAGGATCTTGATCTACATCCACAGCTTTGGCAAAAACTAATGATTTATTCCTTGGGTCATAACATTCTGTGTGCCAGTTTCATCAGTTTTTTGAGACATGATGTTCACAACGTTAAGAGTAAACCTCTGCCAAACAAGTTTCTGACGAGGCTTGACAGGGTAGACACAGGAGGTGATTTCCTATCGCTAGGGAATATCCGCTGAAATATATTTTCAGGATTAAACTGCCGATTAAAGAGTACTACCAATAACAAGAGAAAGAAAAGAGAGATAAAAAGGTTGACTTCCCTCTGACAAAAAAGAAACAGAAGCTGCGGCTGTGGCTGGATCCAGAATCTACCTCCAGAGAAAGTCAAACTTTCAATTTTCTGGTTGAGGGGACCCTGAAGTTGGTCCAGAGAAAGCCCCTCCATCCAATTAAAGGCTCTTGAAGCCTGCATCTGAGACCTTTCAGTGTGAGAGGAGTAGCAGGCAAATAATAGGAGGTAATTTGCAGAGAGAGCACTTCAACATGAAGGCTCTATGTCTCCAGCCTCTTCAGATCTTTAATTGAAAAGTGTGATTTAGCAGTCAGGGTAAAAGGGGCTCTGGGGAAAGGGGAGCCTCTCTTTAGGTCAGACTATAGCTGCTCATATACCCAGCTGGGATCGCAATCTACGAAGATTCCAGTCTCCCATCTGCAGAATCAGCCTGCTTTGGACAGGGACTTGGAGGCTGACTGGCTGCATTGGCTTCTCTAATTACACTTATTTGATGAATCTAATTGGATACCCACTGTATGTGGGTGGACAGCGCTGTTGGTTCCAATCCCACGTCCACAAAAATGGGAGGTGATTTGCAGCCAGACATCAGGCATGTTGGCCAATAAGGCCACTTTTCAGTATTGTTCATCTCCAAAACCAACTCCTAAACACGTGGCCCATCAGGTAGATCAGAACAAGAACAAATGTCCTAAAATGGCAGCATTTACAGTTCGTTTCCCCCTTCCCCTGCCATTTTTCTCACTTCAATTACAGGATAACACTGTCTTAGAAGCTGGGTGAATGCAAAAGAAGACTTGTTGCATTGCTCATGAATAGATGGCCTGACACATTCATCATTTCAGGTTCACACATAAATATATCCATTTGAACAAAATAGCGTACATAAGGCTGCTGTGATCATGGAACCGATTTATTTATTTGATTTATTGTTGTCACATGTACCTAGGTACAGTGAAAAGTTTTGTTTTGCGTGCAGTACAGGCACTGAATAACTGCTTTTGCAAGAAGTACAGAGAAAAAGGAATCATTTGGAGAGGAGAAGCTAAGGCACAACTTTAAAATAATATATAATATTAATGAAAACTGCACAATCAATTCAGAGATAACCAAGGCACTGAGAATAGCTGAGAACTCAGTTATTATGTGCAACTCTGCAACTAACTACTAAACCTGCCATGTCAGGGCAGGTTCAGTAGTCATTTACAATACCCAGAGGTAGAAGAGTTCCATGGGACTATGAATAGTCTAGGCAGATACCTATAGAGAAACATATTCTTCCAAAAATCAGAAGTGTCCTTAAAGGCTCCATAAAGTTCCGACCCAAAACATTTTCCACTTGGAACGGAATTCTACTTAAAAGGATATCAGATCCCAAGTTAATTACCCACTGACACAGCCACAGATTCTGTACCCACTGTCCTTGCCACTGACCCTCTTGCTAACAATACTTGGGAATTATAAGAGAGAAGGATACCAATTTTTGGCCTCATGCAAAGAATTGCAGTTCATACAAGAGCAAGAAAATCTTTGGGTTAGAAGTAAATCTCATCAGTGCTTTAAAAAACAGAAAAATTATCAATCAGAATTCCCTTTATTTCAGTCTTCTCGTTAAAATACTTTAAATGCTCATGTATAATTTTGATGGCAGAGGAATTACTCTGGAATAAATCAGTGAGTAAGACGAACAAAAATTAAAATAAGGAAGATGGTCAGAAATGTCATTTGGTTAATTTGGATCTCTGCCCTCAAAGGCTAAAAACCTTCACTAACCTAGTTCTCTGTAATAGTGTCAGTGGTACATTTCTTTGCGCAGTTATGGGTTCTTCCAGAAAATAGAATGGAATATATTCACTATTCGTGTCAAACATCCAAATTGGGGATGGCACAGGAAGACTACACAGTAAACTCACCTTATTACTTCAACAAATCTGTTTTACCTCAGCTCAAAGTGTAACTTTTACTGAAATTTCCCATACTAGTTGTTATTATGTTTTGTCAGAGTGGAAGTAGGAGTAGTTACCCTGCGACATATTGCTACTAAGGTTGCTTGGTGACTACAGCACTAGCATCATGCAGTACCACATTGGCCAGTATCGTATTGACAGTCATTCAATCAATAAGTGTCAATCCCTTCCAATACTCACTGTTTTAAATAAAGCATCAATAAAAAAAAATCTGAAAGAATGTATTTCATAATTCTTCATAAATTTAATTAGAAATTCACCCAATGCTTATCTTCACTATAAACGGAATATGTGCCAAACGGAGGTTTTGTTGAAACTCAGACTGCTCAATAACTTCGGTGATTAAAAAACATAGTTAAGGCAATGGACTTAATTACAGCTCATTAGATACAGCAACATATATATTATGTTACTCATCTAACCTGGATTGGGATGGGGGATTCAATCTACAAATGAGACACGGCAGCCTTGTTATCAAAGCAATTACACTCTTGATAGATGATGCTACCAAAAACGCCATTTCAACTTCCATCTCTGTCTTTACAACATTTTCTGTCCAACTACTATTGTTTGACAAGCTCAATATTAAGATATTCAGCTGTTCTTCTAATGAAGCATCTCAACTGATCCAGTTTACAAAAGATTTGGCTGTTATTCTGGTATCCAAAATGGATGAGTGGAATGACTAAGTAATTGCACCTTGGATTCTAAGGTTCACAGGGAATTAGTTAATGCTAGGATGCTGTGCCAATTTAACAAAGCCAATGAAAGCTATGGGGTAGGTGGATGCATACCAGCGCATCTTGATATGTCTGTTAAAGAGGGCTGTCGTGGCCACAGTGGTAGTATCACTATCTCTGAGCCAGGAGGCTTGGGTTCAAGTCCCACCTGCTTCAGAGGAGTGCAATAATATCTCTGAACAGGTTGATTTAAAAGAAGTGTCTGCCCATTTAAGGCTGGTGTGATTACACTACCCTCAACGTATATAGTAATCGTGATCATTATTAATGATTGCAAAATCCAAAAAAGGGCCGTGGTTAGGGATGCAGCCAGGTTAAAGCATGTAAGGCTAGTTATGGCATTAGAACATTCCTCTTGAATATATGTAACCGAGGAACAACTTAAGACATGACGTCAACAGGGGAGGTTCTGACTGAATGATACCCTGAGGGTTGGAGAAAGCCTAAGGGCATCCTGACCAGTCACCAGATGTACCCACTAAAGACGTTGTCTCTGATGCCCGAGATTGTGCTGCTCTCACCTGTATGCAGTACCTCCAAAGCTGTGCCAGAGGCCCGTTTCTGATTTGAAGTCATGGTGCTGGCAGTGTTGATTTGCAGTCCCACACTCACGTCTAGCACCTCAGCTGGATTGTTGCACTGAGCACAAAGAGAAAGAACAACTGAAGAGATACATCTTCCAGAGTGTGGGAACAAATCATCAAGTGATTGATTTTTTCACCACTCCTCAGCACAAATAAATATCTTGTAGAGGGATTAAAGCCCCAGGAGCACTACATCAAATAAACTGGACCATGCCTCAAGCTTCTAAAAGGTCTCATAGACAAACACTGCAGTGCTGCAGATGGATATATTGCGGAATACATTCATCAAATGGAAGGTGGACTAACATTAGACAACAGGGAGCGCTGCTAGCTATCATAAGCATGTCTGAGCTGTCCCGCACTTTGATGTCGTAATTGCTTCCTATCTTCGGGTTTCTGCCTTTGCCCCATGGTGAAGAATCTATTGATTGGGTAAGAGAAAGAATAAATTCTTTTATATTATTGTCTTAATGATAGTTAACTTTGTTAAGAATTTATTTTGATCATGCAGGAATCACTGCTCTGGCATTTCTGACAGCCATAACGAAACAAATCTGATGTCAGCAAGGTATTTCCTGTAAAGATGCATACGAAAATCTGTACTAAAATAGGCATATCGTAAGCTAACATTAGCTAATTGTACAGTTAGCATAGTATATTCAAGTGTACCGATGTTCGAAGATTTATTTCTCAACAATCTGTTTTATCTAGGTACGTGTTTACAGGCAGAAATTAAAGTGTGCATAGGTTTGGAGGTTGAAACAAAGGTCTGACTCAAAATAAGGGTAGGGATTATTTAGCTTGTTTTTCAGCATTACGGATAATAGTTTTACAAGGCTAAAGCATCACAGATTATGGTGATCTTCTATTTGATTCCCAATGCAAAAACAAAACTTAAAAAAAAAGTTGTGAAGGCTTGATGAGAACACAGATTAATGTCACATCTCTAAGCCAATTCAGTCTTCGGCCTTCTTGGAAATGATATCCACCTCTTAAGCCCTTTAGTATTTCATTTACTTGGGTATTTCAAATGCCATTGACAGAATCTGACAATATGTCAAATTACATTGTCATTATATAGTCTCTCACCAAATATTTAGTTTCTTATCAAGTAGTACTTTGACCACCAGCATGACATCAGGGCACTGAATCTAGCGACCAGCCCAAACCCTAAACCTGCCAACATTTTGGCAGTGTCAAACACAGAGCTAGAAGCCCCATGGCCCAGAACCAGCAGCAAATAATATGCCCATGGTCCAACATTATCACTGGAGGGTTTTCCACCAATTGGTCAGGCCTACTACCCTTGGCCATCCGATCTTTAAAATTAAATCGTTTACTTACTCCTGGTCTCTTCTATGCTGAGGTGCCCTCATGTTCCCCAGCCTCCACTGGCAGCATCCATGCTTCCCAGTGCAGCAGCTGAGGCTTCAGAGCTGCCAGCCCTATGATCCGTGTTGACAGGTTGCAGTGCTCGCCTGGCGGTGACCAATTAGGGGGGCAAGTCCGGGAAATTGCCAATGCAGTCCAGCTGCCAGTGTGTGCTCATCATCCAAATAAAGTCCCAACATCAGTCACATTCTGCTCATTAATGCTGCTTCTGTCTACGCAGTTGCAGCTTGTATTACTCAGTATTTTTACCATTTTGTCTTGTATTACTCAGCTGTTGTTTGGAACACAGTTTACAGGGCAGGCTATGTAAGGCTATCTTGGATTTATTTCATTTTCCTAGGTGATGGTAACTGGAGCAACTTGGTTCAGAAAGCAACAAGCTTTGATACGTGGGTCTTCCACATCTTACTGTGAGATATTTACCATGTGAAATGATTGGGACCACTTCCACACTGCATTACACAGAACCAACGAAAATTCTTTCACTAAGAGAAAGGATAAATCCAGTAACTGTCGATCAGTCAGAGAAATGATGGTGGTGAGGAAATCTTTAAAGCCAGCAAGCTGGGACAAAATGAATCAGCATTCGGAAGAGTATGGGCTAGTATTTGAAAGCAAGCTTGGATTTGTGAAAGGCAAGTCACGTTTGATGAATTTGATCGAGTTCTTTAATGAAATAATACAGAAGGTTAAGGACTTTCAAAGGCATTTGATAATACATAATAACATTTGTGCCACCCAGATTGTTAGACAATGACGATGTTCAACAACTACTAACCCTTTGATTGTCAATGGCATCACGACTGTTGAATGGCTCACCATCAACATCCTGAGCACCACCATTGATCAGAAACTTAACCGGAATACCATACAATGTTATGGCTACAAAAGCAAATTGGAGGCTGGAAATTCTGTGGGTAAGAAATTCACCACCTCAAAGCCTGTCAGAGGAAACATAGCAATGTAGTACACATTGAGAAGTAAATACAGTAACATAATTCTAGGGCAGAGATGGGCAGAATGGGAAGACTTGTAGAAGATAACTTAAACACAGAGAAGTTGTGATTAATTTTAACAAGAGGAATGAGGAGAGGCAATATAAACATAATGGTTCAATTTTAATGGAACAGTGCAACCTGGGATGCGCAAACACAAGCTTTGAAGGTGCAGGAGAAATAGCGAAAACAATTTTGAAATAGCATTCACGATTCTTGGCTTAACAAGTAGAGATATAGATTACAAAAGCAAGGAAGTTATGCTAAACTGTTAGAAAACACTGGTTAAATTTCAACTGGAGCATTCTGGTCAATGGTAGGCACCAAACTGCAGAAAGGATCTTGAGGTTTCAGGGGGTGCAAAGGAAATTTACAAAGGATGGTACCAGGAATGATAGACTTCGGTGATGTGGAGAAACTAAAGATATAGGAGTACTTTTTTCTTACAGCAGGGAAGATCAAAAAGGGAGGTTTAATAGAGGTGTGCATAACCTTGCAGGGTTTTGATAGATCAAGTGGAAACTCAGAGTAGTGTCTTAGGCCCAACCACCTTAAGCTGCTTCATTAATAACCTCCACTCTACCATAAAATCAACAATAGAGACATCCACTGATGATTGAACAATATCTAATATCATTAACAACTCCTTTGACGTTGAAACAGTCCATATCTACAGGTAGCAAGCCTTACGGAATTCCCCATTATCACCAGTCCGGGGGTTCCCATTGACCATAAATCAGATGGAAGCAGCCCCACAAATACTGTAGCTACAAAAGTAGATCAAGGACTGGGAATTCTGTATTGGGTAACATGCTCTAACTCCTCAAAGCCTGGACACCATCTACATAAGCAGGTCAGGGTTGCAAATGGGATACTCTCAATCCTCTGATTGGGGACAGCTCCAACAAAAATCATGAAACTCAACACCATCCAAACAAGCCAGTTTCCCCTCTTGATCGGTGCCCCATCTGCCATTTTATACACAGTTGCTCCCTCCACCATCTCCAGACATTGTGTGTACTGTATACAAGCCGCACTGCAGCAACTCACCAAACCTCACTTGACAGGCTGTTCCAAACCTACGGCATCCACCTCCAGACATTTGGGAACCACTATCTCTAACCACCCCTCCAAATCAGACACCATCCTGACTTGAAACTCAATCACTGTTCCTTCAATGTTGCTAGCTCAAAATCATAGAATCACAGAATCCCTACAGTGCAAATAGAGGCCACTTGGCCCATCGATTCTTCACAACCTCTCTGAAAAGCATCCCAACTGATCCAACCCCTGCCCTATACCTGTAACCCCACATGGAGCTTTTTCTTTTGGCCCATGGCTAATCTGCACATTCCTGGACACTACAGGGCAATTTAACATGGCCAATCTACCTAACTTGTGCATCTTTGGACTGTGGGAGGAAACCAGAACATCCGGAGGAAACCCACGCAGACACGGGGAGAACATGCAAACTCCACACTGTCACCCAATGTTGGAATTGAACCTGGATTCCTGATACTGTGAGGCAGCAGTGTTAACCACTGTGCCACTGTGCTGCCCCGATCCTGGAATGCATTCCTAATGGCACTGTGTGTATAAGGTCAGAAATCAGACAACACCCAGGTTAGAGTCCAACGGGTTTATTTGAAAACACAAGCTTTCGAAGCCTCGCTCCTTCTTCACATGTTAACATTTGAAGAAGGAGTGAGGCTCTGAAAGCTGGTGTTTTCAAATAAACCTGTTGGGCTCTAACCTGGTGCTCTCTGATTTCTGACCTTGTCAACCCCAGTCCAACACCGGCATCTCCACACTGTGTGCCTGTTCATCACATGGACTACAGCAGTTCAGGAAGGCTATTCACTAGGACCTTCTCAAAGGCAATGAGTGCTGGCCCAGCTAGAGACACCCACATCTCACAAACATGCAAATAAAACAGTTTCCTCTGGCAGAAGTGTTGGTAACCATGGGAGACAGATTTAAAAAGTAATTGGCGAAAGAACTAGAGGTTATGCAAGGAGAGAAAGACATATGCTGCGCATTACAATCTATGATGCACTGCCTGATATGGTGGTGGAAGCTAATTCAGTTATCATTTTGAAAGGGGTATTGGATAAATGGAAAAAAAAATTGCTTTGTTGTGTAGAAAGAGAGGCAAGTGGGTCTAATTACATCTTTTGCAAACAGCAGATGTAGGTACAATGGGATAAATGGCAAGATACAATGTATCACACTAGAATTTTATGTCATCTAACCACTGATCTGTATAATTGCACTGAGAGCACCGTTCATCATTTGGTATGGCAATACCACAGTGCTACATGGGTTAAATTTAGCACAAAATTAGCAGCTCAAATCTTGGCATTCATTAGGCAACACAAGCCATCAACAGCAGCCGTAACAAATTTGACTTTTACCACAATCCTTAATTTCATGGCTCAACAAATCCTCATTACTTTTGCCATCAAGCCAGGCAGACAACCCTGTTTTAATGTGTACAGAGAGAGAAGCACACCAGGACCAACATAAGGAATACCTGAAACTCAGCAGTCAGTCTGGTGAAGCCACAACACAGGACTGTGTATACGCTAAATTAAGGCATTACAGAATCTTACAGTGTACAAGGAAGCCATTTGCCCCATCATACCTGTGCCACTTTTTTGAAACAAGT